CTCCTAGGGGAAGGGAAACCATAATATAATTGATGTACTAAATTCGTCATCCTTATTTTCAAAACTGTTTGGCCAACACAGATTCAAGCCCAGTGAGTCAGCTGGGTTTCCATGTTTTAAAATCTCATTAGAATCTTCTGGTGCCTTTCCTCGCCCCTCAGATCTCACAGGGCCAAAACAAGCGGCTGGCTGCCATTAAGGATTGCCATCCCAGACTGGTCCTTAGTCACAACCCCAGTCCTCAGAAGAGTCATTAGAAACTTCCAGGGCAGCAGCCTCCCAGTCTGACTGGTTCCCATGGGATGTCCTGTCCCTCACCATTCCCCCAGCCCTCCCAGAGGGGACCGTCTGGGCCCCTGCCTCTTAAGCTGCCAGGCGGCTTGGGTGAAGAATTCCCCATCTGCCACGTGCTGCCCAGCGTGGCTGTGCTCTCGGGAGAGCAGACAAGCCTCCACGCCTCAGCCGAGGAGGAGAGGTGGCTGAGGGGCGTTCCCCTCCACCCACCCCTGCCCTGTCGCCTGCAGAGGGCCGGTGGCCTGTTTGGCAACCACGTCGTCAGCTACTACCAAAGCGACGGCCGGAGCGCCTTCCCCCAGACCTTCACCGCCCAGCGCCCGCTGCACATCAACAAGGCGGGTAACAGCCAAGGCGACACCGAGTCGCCATCCCACGAGAAACTGGTGGACTCCACCTTCACCCCCAGCAGCTACTCATCCACTGGCTCCAACGCCAACATCAACAACGCCAACAACACCGCCCTGACCCGCTCCCCTCGCCCCGTCGGCTCCCCCAGCGCAGCCGGCACTACGGAGGGCCACGGGCCCCCCTCGTCTCCTGCTGTCCGGGTGCAGGAGGCAGCGTGGAAGCTCAGCTCCAAGAGGTAAGCAGGAGGGTGGGGCATCTAGGGCCCTGCACACGGGCCTCACAGGGAGGGGCATTTTGGTGGCAGGAGGCTCTTTGCTGTAGCACTTGCGTTGTGCCACAGCGTAAGATCCTTCCTGGTAGTCTTGACTATACCTCCGGCTTCCTGACTGGCTCTTTTCTCCCCATGCTCTGCTCCCCGGTGCTCTAGGATGCATTGCTATGATGTGCTGGGACAGTAGATGCCTACTGCCATGCTCTGGGCCTCAGGAAGCACAGCCTGGGCCTAGAGGGTCTGCCTGTTTGTATCAGCAGCTTTGGGCTCCCTAGGCTGGATGGGAGAGGACACGCCACTGTATCTTGCCACTTGATCCTTAGTTGAGCTGCTCTTCCGGAGCAAGATAGGCATCCCCAGCAGGATGGCAGACCCCCAATGTGCCAAGTTCTTGGGCATATCTCCTTTCTTGCCCTTGAGCTCATAAAATTATCGAGAAGTGCAAGTGTCTTTCTAAATCCCTAAACAGGTGTCCTAAAGCTACTTTCATTCAAGGAACCAGCACACCTGTCCCACTGGTTTTCACTTCCCTTCATAATACCCATTTTCAAGTGGTCACATGTAAGTCCACACGGCCTGGACGTGTAACAGTGTCCGATGACAGACAAGTCAAACTGGCCATCTGTCTAGCTTATTCTCTGGAAGACTGGCTGGTTAAACCACCCAAAAGCAGTGTTGGGTGAGTCCTGAGACTCAAAAGACGTATATTGATGCCTTATATGTGCAGAACAATGTGCTCAGCCCTGGATTTTGTATGCTGATCAAAAAGATTGGCTTTGCATAGAGGAGTATAAAAGTTTAAGTGGCTGGCTCGTGCCTGTCTTGGTGTCCCCCTCCCTTTTCTGCAACCCTCTTCTCTTTCTACAGCCTTCAGGGACTCAGGCCTAGTATTACTTTCTCCCTGCTCCCCTTATCAAAACTCTTCTTGAGGAAGGCTCATTGTGTTCATCCTTAGCTCCTCAATATAAACTAATACCTCCTTCAAAGGGAATTTCCATATTAAACTTTGTTCTGTATTAAATAAAGGGAGGTAATCATTCTAGAGAGGAGGTCAGGAGAGACATCAGGGGATTTCTTCCTCTCCCACAGATTCATCTGTCAGTGAAACCGGATACACACAAAGCACCTAGCACCATGCCTAGCACATAGTAAGCACTCGAAATGTTTCCCCCACTTCCCAGTTGGTAAAACAACACTCGAGGTGAAGAGGAACAACTTAACCAAAGTTCCTGCTCTGAGACCTTGTCGTTCATGTCACAGCTCAGGCCTAAGTGCAGTAGCCCCAGCACTGGCCTTGCTTTTGCTGGGGACAGGCCAGCACATCTAGCACACCATGGCCCCCAAGAAGTGGTGTTGCCTGCCTGCGGCCATTCTGTGTCCAGCGCATCCGATTGTGCCTCGCCAAAGCTCCTTCCACATTCCTCTCTTCCCACCCCATCAAAAGCCTTTGGCATCTCATCTGTCTTTCAGACTGTGGCGTGGACAGCCATCTGTTAGGGCCTCCCCAAGAGAACTGCCCTTACCCTTCCTAGTGGCTCTCACACTAGTGTAAAAGTTTAAGTGGGGGCACTGATCCGGCACTTGGCTTTGAAAAGATGAACTGGGATATTTCCCTGATGTCCTCATGGATCTGAGGATAAAGTGGCCCCCAGCATTCAGGACCTAGAGGAAGAATGCTAGAGAGAGATGCCAAGCTAGACACAGACAGGAAAAGGAAGAACATCTAGACCAGAGCTAAAGCAGACATGACCAAATGAGCAGAAGACTGTGTCCCGGAAAGAGAGCAGAGTCATTCAAGGCACATCCTAATGTGGGAAGGTCTTGACCTCAGCAAGAATTCATGTTCAGGGGGAACTCAGGCTCAGCAGGGATTCAGACTCAGCAGGGGCCCTGGCTCAAGAGGGAATCAAGCTGAGCAGGGACTCAGGCTCACTCTCCTCTGTTCAGAAGAACAAACCCCTCTATGTGAGGTTACTTCTCGTTGCCTTCAGTCCGGGGAACCAATGTCAGACTCAAAGGCATGTCAAAACATGACACCAGGACCTTCTCAGCTCTGCCCAACAAATGCCCAAAGGCCCAGTTGTCTATAATAGAGGGAAGGGGCAGCCCTCTCACTGGCCCACCCTACCCTATATAGTGCAGCCCAGGACCCTTCTTTAAAAGCTGATCCTTTCCACCTTTCAAAGCACCATCTCATGTGTTGCTTCATTTGTTACGCACAAGCCTCTGCGTCAGGCAGGACATATGTTATCCAATTTTATTGATGGGGCTCCTGAGGCATGGGATGGGTTAAGTGGCTTATGCCAGAAAGTAACTGGGTGGAGGCCAGAACTCAAGTCTCCCCGGATCCTAACTCAGAGGTCCTTTTCTAACATAGCATCCTAACCCCAATCCTAATGTTTCTATGGCTCTGCAGCTTCCTCCGTGATTGCAGGAGGAGGTGGAGGCCACGGCAGCTGTGTGTGCGAGCGTGTGTGCATGCATGCGTGATGCTGTGCTTGCTGAGGTAAGGCAAGGAGGGCTGGCAGGGTCTGATTTTTTCCTCCATCTTTAGGTGCCACTCCCGGGAGAGCCAGATAGCCATGGTGTGTCAGGAGGTCTCCCAGGAAGAGACGTACGATGTGAAGATGAGTGACGATGCCGAGTACTGCAGCGAGCCCAGCCTGATCGCCACAGAGATGTGAGCCCTGCCGCCTGCCGCCCAGGGCCCGCCCGCATGTAGGGAAGGGTCTGGGTGGAGGGCAGGTCCTGGGATCTCTCCTCTGGGAATGATCTGGGAGAAGGGGGAGATCACTTATGGGAAGATCGCCTGCCAAGTATCTGTCGCCTCATCAGGGAGACGCAAGCCCCTGACCCACACAGACACACACAATCCCCTGGTTAGCTTGGCCCTTCCTCCCGATACAGTGCTTTCATGAAAACTTATAAACATTGTTTCTTAATTGTTTCAACCGCAGCCAACCAATAAATATATTTTATAGTGAGACTCAGTTACACATATACATATAAAATATATTTTATAGTGAGACTCAGTTATACATATACATATATTGACATGTAAATAAATGCTCATGAAACTATTTATAATAAAGCTACCCAGCAGAGGGCGCAGGTAGCAAACGGTGGCTGAGATTTTTGTCAGTGCTGTAATTTTTTGAGAAGTGTTTTTTAACTGCAGATCTAGACCCATTAGAAGGTTGTAACATTTACTTAGTTATGATCAGCACTTTTTAAATAAAGTATAGCATAGCATAGTACAGAATGGCATAGGCTAGGACAGAACAAGACGATATAAAATAGCGTATACAATGTCACAGAAGTATCATTTTGTGAAATGTTTGCCAATATATGTATGTAGTGAGTATTATAAAAATGTATTTATAACTGTGGGTTGCATTCAAAAAGTTTAAGGTGCACTGTTTTAGAAGCTTTCTTGAAAGCACTTTATAATATGAAAGAGCCAGCCCTCTAGGCTTTTGATTTTTAGAGAATGCAAATTAATACATGGCCCTGTATCCTAGAAGTCAGGAAAAGCATATGCTTCAGTCCACTGTGGCTCTTACTGAGTGGTTGGTGCATCTTGGCACTCGGCTAGATCATGAATAAACTGGCCTCAGCACTCAAGAAGATTTTGCAAATAGTTAGAAAACTAAGACAATCTTAGAAGAGGAAGATAATATGTAGATTTTCTACCTATTGCTCTCAGAGTGGTACAACTATGAGTGGTGCAGGCATTCAGAGAAGGACAAGGTTAAGGTGACCATGACAAATGTGAGGCATGAGGTCAAACAGAAGCTGGGTCTTCAAGCATGGGTCTGATTTACTTAAGAAGAAAATACAATATGGAGAGCTTACCAAGCTGAAATGAGAGGAAAGGCTTGGAGGTTTTCCTCCAGAAACTTTCCCAAACATCTACAAATGCTAGAAGTCAGTGTGCTCGGAGCGGAAAGGCAGCACAGCCTCTGCCCTCCAAGTATGTGGAGTCGCATGAGGAACAGAGTCAGCGGCCTCATCTGTAAAAGGAAAGGGTTAGAATGCAACTTCAGAGGGACAGCTATGCCCACCATGGATAGTGAAATCAACTTAGTGGATTGCAACAGACATTTTTTAAAGAAATAGAACAAACTAAAGTAGGATAGAAACTATCAGAGTGCAACACATGCAGTAAAGTCAATGGCTTCTACACCTTTTTGATGTGGGTTCAGTAAGAGCCATATTTTACACAGTTCCGGTGTGTGTAGACACACCCCACTGAACTAAACGTATTGTTCAAGACGTTTAGTTCAGTGGGGTGTGTCTACACACACTGGAACTGTGTAAAATATGGCTCTTACTGAATCCACATCAAAAAGGTGTAGAAGCCATTGACTTGATGTCACTTAGGTCCCTGACAGCTATGTTCACTGACTGGGTGACTGTATGGCATTGTAGGCAGCTGCTGTGTGTCCTTGATGATGAGTAAGTATTGTTCAAGACGTTTAGTTCAGTGGGGTGTGTCTACACACACTGGAACTGTGTAAAATATGGCTCTTACTGAATCCACATCAAAAAGGTGTAGAAGCCATTGACTTTATGTCACTTAGGTCCCTGACAGCTATGTTCACTGACTGGGTGACTGTATGGCATTGTAGGCAGCTGCTGTGTGTCCTTGATGATGAAGGGTTGGGCAGGCCAGGGAGAAATGGGAGGGTGGGGGACAAGTTTGGGTAAAGTTGGGAGTAGTCATGATAAATAGCATCAGCACATATAACAGAACAGCTGAAGCCATTCCCGAAAAGAACTTTGTGGGCCTAAAATTTTTTCCCAACTTTCTCAACAATTTGACCAAGAGTGCCTTCACTGCCTCCAGTCAGAGATGCCAGGCTCGTGTAGTCAGGCTGTGTGTGTGTGAGGGGCCCGAAATCATCTGTGAGAACAGGGCTGCATTTCCTAGGGTGGCAAGTTCCTGCTGCCCCTTCCCAAACCTTCATGAGAGCACAACACAGGGGTTCACTTCACTGAGGAAAAAAGCCAGCTTCCTTCTGGGATGGCAGTTGCCCCTGTGGGGTGCACCTCTCGGCCTCCAGGAACAAGCCCCAAGAGTTCTTTGTTCCAGGCTCTCCTATCAGGATGATGAAAACCGACAGTTGACACCCCCTGAGGAGGACAAGAGGGACATCCGGCAATCTCCAAAGAGGGGTTTCCTCCGCTCGTCCTCCCTAGGTAAGTTCTCACACCCCTTCTTAGATGTGGCCGGCCGGGGGGCACCCTGAGATAACTGGTCAGGCACTCAGTAGTCCCTAGCTCAGACAGCCCCCACACAGGGGGCCGGGCAGACTTCCAAAGCGAGGAGAGGGAAATCCAAGGGCCGGGCGTGCTGGGATAGTACTTGCACATGGGCTACATGGGATATGTCAAAGAAAGTCAAAGGGTAAAGAGGAGATTTATTGGGGCCGCTAACATTGCCCCTCTCCCTCTCCCTGGGTATGAGCTGTCACGGACCCCTGTCCTGTCTTCCTGCGCTGATCCCAGTTCTTTGGCTGGCTTTGCAGGTCGAAGGGCCTCCTTCCATCTGGAATGTCTGAAGCGACAGAAGAACCAAGGGGGAGACATCTCTCAGAAGACAGTTCTGCCCTTGCATCTGGTCCATCATCAGGTAGCCACATTTTGGACAGGCCACTGGCCACCACCTAGTAAACTAGACAGAAACCCCCAGGTACCAGCCTTCCCTGTCTCAGACCACTGCTGTGTCCCCACGCCTGGCTCTAACAGTCCCGGGGCAGGGAGCTTTTCCTATGCAAGTGAGAGCTTGACAAGGTCTGTCCTTTCCCAAGGTGGAGACCTAGGAAATGTTGGTGAGCAGGAGCTCCTCCCGAGGTCCTAGAGGACCAGCCTCTTTGGGACTCCTGAACTTTCTTCTTACAGTGGCACAGATGTCCTTCCCCAGACTGGCCTACACCACAGGGCACTCAGGCAGATGTGCTCATACCTAGAGTTGCAAGACATCTGGAAACTTAGCTGTACAATAATCCATCTACTGAAATACAGAAATGATCAAAGAACCCACCAGCCACATGGTCGGGAGCAGGGAGTGATATCCAAGGAAAATGGGTCCAGGGAGATTCGACCATTGACATTTCTCTTGGCACTGCTGACTCTGAGACAGTGAAATCCAAGATACAGCACCAAATACACTCTTAGTATCTCAGAACTAATGGAAACATCAAAGAATTATCTAAGACCAGTCTCTTACCTCCAGGCGAATTAGGGTCTATGCTTTCAATGATTTTTTTTTTTAATCAAAGGCATTCAAATGCCAATCAAAGTTTATAATCAGCATAAGATGGCCAGTGTGACTTGGCTAAGTTGATATTATTTCAGCTTAAAGAAATGCACTGTTTTGCTTAGCCTGTGTGGCACTACCTACATACATATGATCTCCAGGGCCCCAGGGACCTGAGGCTGGGGATCATCAAGAGCAGTGGCCAGGAGAGGCTGGCAGGCTGGGGGCCCACCGTGTGTGCTATTTTTTAAAAAATTCTGGAAGTTAATTTCACTCATCTGTTCTTATTATTCTGGAAGGAAAGAAATTCATGTGTGGATGCCTTTCTCCTGCCCTCCAGTCCACACAGCACTGTTCCCCTTCTCTCTGCCTCCGGGGCTGGGCTTTCCCACTATGCTGCGTCACTGTCCTGTGACACATCATATCAGAGCAGGCTGTTGTGGCAACCTGTGTGGGGACCATGACCTACGCTCAGGACACTGAAGCGCAGTGGGGGCAGAGGACACAACTGTGTAAATAGTTTAATCACAATACAGTGTAAGATTTGAACAATAGTTCAAAAACAAGGAGAGCTAGAGATTGGCAAGACATTGTTAGTGGCTCAGTTAATTGTAAAAATTCAAACAGTAAGTACTGGTTTTGTCTAGCTCTGTGATGCACAGTCTACTTCTTCATAGACCTTACTTCACTTGAACCTCACATCAACCCCACAAGGCAGGTGGATAGCAAGCAAGTCAATTGTGTTCTGGTTTTCCAGATGATACAGGTATCATCCTCTCTAGTCTACTGCTGAGAAACCCAAAGCGAGAGAAGTTGCATCTGGTAGGTGATAGGGGCAGTGCTAAAGAGCAGATGATCTTGATCCTACTCGGTCACAGCTTTCTGAATTTAGGGGAGAAAGAGATCACTTCAGACTAAGATGATCACAAAATACATTTTAGGATGGCCAAAACTTACATTGGGTCTTGATGAGGTAAGATTCAGATGGGTGAAAATGGTGGTGGAATGAGTTCCAGGCAGGTGGAACTAGCTAGAAACAATAGCTGCTAAGAAGGCAGATGGCTGCCTCTCTGGGGCCTGACCATACTCAGTAAATCATGTTCCTTGTATGTCCACAGGCGTTGGCCGTGGCAGGCCTGAGCCCACTCCTCCAGAGAAGCCATTCCCCCACCACGTTCCGCAGACCATGTGCCACCCCTCCAGACACGCCCGGCAGCCGAGGCTGGCCCCCAAAGCCCATCCCCACCCTGCGGCTGGAAGGAGCCGACTCCAGCGAGAATCTCAACAGCAGCTTCCCATCCATCCACTGCAGCTCCTGGTCTGGGGAGCCCACGCCCTGTGGGGGGGCCAGCAGTGCCACCCGGAAAGCCCGGCCTGTGTCCCTCACTGTGCCCAGCCAGGCCAGAGCCTGGGGCAGGCAGTTCCATGGCAGTGCCAGCAGTCTGGTAGAAGCGGTAAGTGACCCCATGCTGCACAGCAGATAGCAGGAGGAAAGGCTGGAGGCGGCAAGGGAACTTTGCATGGAGAATAGAGAAAGGAATACCTGGTTCTCTCCCAGGTAGATTGGGTATCAAGTCTCCTTGCCAGAAAGACCCTCACTGTCAGGGCCTGCAGCAGAAGGGCATGGCGTGCAGAAAATAATGACCACGCAAGACACTCTTGGCATCCATTGGGGCTGGGCTGGTGCAGAAAGAGAAACTGAGCAGCATATCCTTGCCACAGGCCATTGAACCCCAAGGAAGGCCTCAGGGCTCCACTGTACAAGCCAGAGGCCTGCTGTGACTGCTCCAAATGTGAGCTTGGGCTGCCTTTGTACACATAGAAAGTCAGAATCCGGTTCTTGAGCCTGGTTGCTCGTTAGAATAACCTGGGGAGCTTTGGAAATCTATGACCAATTATGGGTATTTTTTAAAACCCTTTGACGATCCTAATGCACAGCCAGGGTTGAGAACCTCTGGTCTAGAACAAGAGCGCTTTCAGTGCCTCCGCATTCTGCCCTGGTCAAAGCACCTCCTGCAATCCTGGCACCACACCTTAGGGGACATTTGACAATTGGAACAATCTCAAAGGAGGATGACCAGGTTGGCAAGGTCTCTAGAAGCCATTTCATGCGAGAACCGGTCGAGGGAATTCGGAAAGTAACCCCAAGAGGAGGTGACTTCAGAGGCAGTGATGTGCATCTCAAACCTGTAGGGCCCTCTTGTCCTGAGCAGGTCTTGAATGCAGGGTTGGAGCAACTATAGCAGCCTGACAAGCAGGCAGATTTCAGCTCACATGAAGAGACCCCTTCTGAAAGCGCTCTTCCAAAATGAGGGGCTTGCCTGTCCAGACAAGCAAATGAGACAATGCCTGTCCAGACATCAGGCTGTCATGCAGGAGGTACAGAGGTAAACCGGATGACTTCTAAGGTCTCTTCTAACTCTAAAACTCTGTGCTTCACGTGGCCTTGGTTATCAGTGTATCTCCACTGAGAGCCTGCCACGTGCAGGCTCAGTCCTAGGAGAGAGTCACTGCTGAGGAGCAGCATTTCTGCTTTCATGAGCTCACATTGTGGTGAGGAAAGGCAGATAATAAATAAATATGTGTGCGACATATTAGGAACGGGTGGGAGCTATGAAGAAAAATTATACAAGATAAAAAGGGGTTAGTAGGACAAACACAACTGGGAGAAAAGTGTTCCAGGTTTCACTCTACTGCTTCCCCTGACCCCCAGCTCAGTGGCTGCTCTCCCTGAAACCAGTCACTAAAGCGGCCCCCATGGAGGGTGAATCTTTAGGATCACCTGCTGGCCCTTCTGAGCAGAAGTGGAAGCAGAGGCAGGTGCATGTGTGGTGTTTGCACACATCATACGCCAGGATCCTCACTCTCAGACAGGCAGCCAGCTGGCAATGGGCAGTGGTCACAGGCTAACGGTTTCACCAAAGGAGAATGAAGGTTTCTTGGAAAGAATAATATGGGAGGCATCTAGGGGTGCCATGGAGGAGAAAAGGCAAGGGCAGGCGAAGTTCTACCTGAGGCCCCTGTGTGAGCCAAGTTTTCACGTATTTGATAACAGTTTTCGAGTACCCTAACCAAAAGGTCTCTCCTCTGGCCTACACATGCCGAATTCTTCAGGGCAATGCTCCATCTCCACACCTTTCCCCCGAGCGCCCACGCACGCATGCGCGCACACATGCGCGCACACATGCACACACGTGCGCGCTCCTGAAGTTACCAGTCAGAAGTTCCTTGCGCTAGCCCTAAAGGGAAGAGTCGAGTGCAGGAATAATGTTCCTCTTTGGTTCTTCTTCATGACCCTCCCCCACTTCAGGTCTTGATTTCAGAAGGACTGGGGCAGTTTGCTCAAGATCCCAAATTCATCGAAGTCACAACCCAGGAGCTAGCTGATGCCTGCGACATGACCATAGAGGAGATGGAGAATGCTGCTGACAACATCCTCAGTGGGGGCACCCAGCAGAGCCCCAACGGCACCCTATTACCTTTTGTTAACTGCAGGGACCCAGGGCAGGACAGAGCAGGGGTAGAAGAGGACGAGCCCTGTGGGCCCCCGCAGGAGTGTCGAAGGGGCGAGGAGGAGCTGCAGGACAGCCGAGCCTACGTCAGCGGCCTGTAGCAGCTGGGGCTGGGAGATGCTGGGTTTTTTATTTGTTTCACTGTTCCTAAAGGGTTCGTTTCAGAAGTGCCTCACTGTTCTCGTGACCTGGAGTTAACCGGAACAGCGTCTTCATTCATTTCGTTGGGACAAGACGCAGAGTTGGGTAGTGTGGAGAGTCAGCTTTTGGGGAGCGGGGCAAGAAAAGCAGCAACCCCAGTTTGTGTACACGGAGGTAGAGTGGTGAGGAGGAGGTGGAAGGCCCAGGGAGGGAGTGCAAGAGAAGGCCGCGGCCCTCCCTCTCCGTTGTATTTCAGGCCCTGCGCCAGGAACCAGCAGCCGCCTTGGGCACAAAAGAGACCCTCAGCTTCCCGCGGTAGCCTTCACCGAAAGGACCTTTGTCAAACGGGTGTCTTTCAACTTTGCTTGTAAAAAAATCATTTTGCACATATTCTGTATGAGCCTCACTGTCCCCATAGAGCCAGGGCCCTGTGGATTTGCAAAAGGATGCGGGCATGACTTCGCGAGGTCCCAGCCTCACCCCAGAGGGGAAGGAGGAATCAGGAAGAGGCGGCAGCAGCCGGGGAGCCAGGAGGGAGGGCGGGCGGTTGCCCTGCAGCTTCGCCCAGCGGCCCGGCCCACCACCCATCTGCGAGGGCCACAGAGCCCAGCCTTCCAGCCCAGTGGCGGCTAGCCTCCAGCGTGGGGAGTGGCACTGCCCGCCAGAAAGGGTCAGCCAGTTCTTGACAAAACCAGGTGGTGCTGAGCTTCTGTTGGGCGCGCTTTTGTTCTGTGGTTTGACATTTTTCTTGACAGCATGTTGCAGTTTTTTTTTTTTTTTTTTTTTTTGGTTTTTCGTTTCTTTTAAATTTTGTTTTCCCAGGGGGAGGGGAGGAAGAAAGTGTTTACAAAGTTCTGTAGCCACCCATCTTGTTTTCACTTTTGCAAATGTAAATTAGGTTTGGTTTGAACGGTTATTTAAACGGGTGTGGTTTCCTTTTTCTCCAAGGGTTCCATAGAGCCACTGTAGGAGAGCTTTACCAGCCATTGTGTATGCCCAATAATTTGTTCTAATTTCTATAGGTATAAGAAAAAACTTTTTTGGTTTAGTTTTATAATTTAAAGGTAATCAGCAATGCACTTAAAATGGTCTTGCACAACTGGGTGACTGAGTTGGGCTCTTTGAATGCTGGGCATATGGGTGGGTGCCAAAGAGAGTAAGCATGTGGGAGAGTCTCTGCGAGTGTGTGTGTCACGGGTGTACTGGGCTGTCTGTGTGCATATGTCATACATGTGTGTGTGCACCCACTCAGTGTGTGCCCAGGCACCGAATGAGTATGCAGCTCCCTGTTTCTGGATTAACTGGGGGAGATCTGAATCTGGGGCTATTTGAAAGCAAAAACAAAGCGCCATCTCTGCTTCTGAAATGGGAATCAGTAACTCTTTGCATTTTCTGTCCCACAAGATATGCAAAAACAATGCAATAATATTCATTTTAAAAATACAATTGTGAGTCTTGTTGGCATTAAAACTGTATTTTAAAAAACACAGAAATTTAAGGGAAAAACTCAAGAAGGCATTTTGCTTCGATATATTCCGTGTAATGTTTTATTGCATTGATGATGTTTCTGTTGAAGAAACCGTTATACTTGAATTCAGGTCAGTTTCAGTATTTTACAAATATTTTTTTAAAACTGAATTGCAATTGTGCCAAGCGAATATAATGAATTGAATTAAGTTTGTTTTTGAATTCACTTCTTGTATATTTTGCTGCATGTGAGTAAATCATTTTGTATTTGGAGTGTGACAAGCTTTACCTTTGAACTCTTAAGTGCTTTTCTATATGTGGTTGGGGGAAAGGGAACGATTTTTCTTTTAATTTGTTCAGTGAGCAAGTTATCACCAATGTAAATCATTATCCTGCTATTCACCAACAGGTTTGGACATTACTGTTTTGCATATCTTGTGTTTGCTTCCGTTTCTCTCAATTTTTCCAAAACTATATGATAGGTATGTTTGTACTACATCTTGCTTTGAGAGACCAGGATATATCTCATTCCAGTCTTCCCTCTGTCTACTCTGCACCAGTACTCTGATTGGGAATTTCTCTAGGAACAGCCCTTCACTGTGAGGGGTCATGAGACATTCTGACCAGCCTCTCTCCTCACTGGGCCGGCATGAGCATACCCCAAGGGAGAGGAGAGGGGGCTGACTTTTCTCTTCATTTCCATAGCACAAACTTTGCTCAGTGGTTTCTCAGGAAAGTGTATGCTGATTAAGAAGACGGGATTAGAGTTGGGCCAATGGGAGGGAAAGGGAATCCTTATTCTGGCAAGTGCTCTACCCAAACTCAGACAGCCGGGGCTAGAAAAAGGCAACCAGGTAAAATCTGTGTCCATCCAAAAGTCAACTCTGTCTTGTTCACCTCTCCATCTTCTCTTCACTCTGGACCAGGATTTCCTCCACCTCCCCTAGTGTATGTGTCAGCCAAGGAGAGGACCAGGACAAGAGAGGGAGCATCAGGAGTTCACGGGCATGGTAGAACCAGAGACTTTGTGGGAGCCTCTCTTATGCCAGTTTGCATCTGCCTAGAACATCACGCTATTGATGCTGTTTCTTTCGAATACATGTCAACAATGATGGCTGAAAAGGGACTGATTTGGGGAACACAGGACCCAACCAACCATCCATCCAGAATTTACCCATTGAATCTTCCAGTCCAGTGTTCTCATGGCCCTTAGCACTTATATAAGCAACCTAGAAATTTAAATCATGGAATAGTCTAGAAACAGAAGAGCTTCTTCCTGTTTCTCCAAGCCCAACCCATCCAGACTTTCTTCATTCTTTTACAGTGCTATCAAGCTCTTCTAAAAATTAAATGTAGGTGTCCCTCTTTGTCCAGTTTCCCAAAATGCCAGACATCGTGCTGCGAAGATTTTAGTTATGATGGAGAGTGGAGCCCATTTGAATCGATATCTGGTTCTTGCTATACATTTGATCCCCAGATAAAATCTGGAAACTGAATTGACCACACACATGAACATACACACCCGCACACACTCAACCTTTCCATGCTGCATTCTATTTTCGTTTTGGACTTTTCATCCGCATCACCAAATCTCATAGGCCAATGGCTACTCCTAGAGCTCTGCCTAAGTATGGCCACGTCATCTTCAATACTCACACCCACAGGCTCCCTTCTCCTTTATAGTCAACACTGTCAAGGCCAGCTAATCTTCCTCCCTGCCCCCATAAGAACAGTGTCAGCAGCGACAAGGGCGCTCTGCCCTATGCTGCTATGAAGGAAAGGAGCTTCGGATGGGAGTTCCCTTTCTAGGGTCTTTCTCAGCCTGACCTCATGCTCGCTAGTGTAGGATTGACATGTGATACCTGTCATGATCACAGACTGGTAAAATCAGTCGTGAAATCAATGAACTAAATGATGTTTACTCTCCACGTAAAGTAGATCTTTCACCCATGACCTTGTAAAACATGATGGTCAAATCTGAAAACCCTTTGATGGCAGGTGGCAGGAGAAAAGCAGTCAGTGTGGAGGACCAGAAGGACTTGACGAAGTGCAGCTTTAGTTCTGGAGGTTGGTAAACTTGATTTTGTTATCTTCTGACTAGCCCAGTCTCTTTTATTTCCACAACTTGATCTTTTAATGATTATTCATGAGCATGGCTACATTAAGCAGAAAGATTTTCAGCTGTCTCCTTTCTGCCTGTTTCTAGACGGTTCTTTTTTGTCTTTAGGTAAAAAGAAGAGACCTTTTTCCTAGATTTGTTTTGATTCATGAATTTTTACCTGCTTCAGAGGCTGTTAGTTATTATAGTCCCTTCCTTGGCTTTCAAGTCTGATAGGCATCTCTCTGGCTGGGAAATTCAAGGGCAAAGAAATAAGGCTTCCTTACTCTGTTTTTTATCCTCCTCTGGGACCCTGCTTTCAAATTTCCAGGGCTTTTTTGGAGTGAAGCTGCCTATCACTTCCTCACAGCCATCTCCTTCCAGAACTTCTCCTTATCGTGCAGCTGAAGATAGTAAGGTAACCACAGGAGAAGTATGCCTTCCAATGCTAAAGTAATATCTTTCCGAGGCATAAGAGCACCCTGAAAATGAGGAGTTTGGAAGTCATCAAAAGGATGATGGTTGTTTTGCAGAGGTCAGTTGATACATGCTCAACACTCCTAATGGCCAAGAGATATAACAAGAATTTGGATTAGGCATAACGGACAACCCCGGCACTCAGTGTTTTAGTCTCACCAAACCAGAATTATACGTATTGCTAAGGAGAATTGTGGCCTCTCCATCCCTAGAGACCTAGAAAAGTAGATATATCATCATCTGAGAGATAGAAACAGTTTAGCAGAGACCAAGAGAAGGGCAATTCAGTTTCTAGCAGACCTCTTTAAGCCCCAGGTTAATAAAAAGCTTGCTGATAGAGTCCAGACCGTTTTTGAAGACATGACTCTGATCTGGGAAAAGTGTAAACACAAAGAGAGCTGGAAGGAAAATGGGGGCAAAAGGGGGCGTGTTTTGACTCCCTATGTGTTCCCATTTTGTGGAAAGAAATGTCCAGTTCAACCACCCACATGGCCAGTACGGTGGAGAGGCCTTGGGGATCTACTTGGAAGAAAAGAAAAATAAAATATTGACTGATATTGTCTTCCCAACCAAATCAACATTTCTGGTGGGATGTGGGGTGTCTGATGCTCTGTCTTTCCTCTCTGCTGATGTCCCTGCCCCTGTATCAGCCAGCGTGCCACCTGAAACAGGCCCCAGTCAAAAGGCAGGAGGTGAAGCCCTAAACTCATTCATGATGAAGCTCTCAGTCACCAATGCCCGCGTTCTCCAGCAGTACACCTGAGGAAACATGTGGGAAGGAAGTGTCCTACAGCTGTCAGGGGTGGAGCATCTGTCCTCTTCCCTAAGCAGCTCTCTATTCCAGCTTCCTGCCCTGAGTCCCCCGTTTTTCCTCCTCCCCAACCCCCAGTCTAGTGAGAGAGACACAGAGATGAAAGG